TATCCCACAACTGCCTATTACCAATAATTAGGCACTGATCATTACTTGAGAAACATGACTAATCGGGTCACTGTCAAGTGAGTTAGTGGCCGCCCACTTTGTGGTCAAAAAGCATTTACAATTACAATAAAGGTGGTAATAGGCCTTTATAGTATACTGCTGAATGTCCTGATCCCTGTGCAAATTCATCAGTGCAGTTGAGTTTAGCTGTGAGCAAAATCGAGGTCTAAGTCACGATATGTCCTAACCTCAACCCTTTGCTGCTTGCCTGCAACAGCCATTGCAGGCCTATATCCCAAATAGCTATTGAGATGATGAAAATATAACACTAAATGTGATTCAGAATATCTTTTCTTTTATATTTATTATTTTACGTACTTTAATGGTATCATTACCACATCATAGAATATCTAAAAAGCTTCTGTCCTACTCATAGTAAGATGTGTTCACAACATAGACGACATAGGCATGGTTATTTTGCTGGCTTCAATCTATTTTTATGGTGTGGGACCATAAAAATCAGACTGTCAATAAAATCCTGTAAAGCTGTACTGTTAGGATTAAAAACTGGTGTATAGTTTGAAATCCAAACTTTAGACACAAGTTGAAAGGGAGGCTTTGTCTTGCTGCTTGATCATCGTAAATCGGTAGCGTGATTTCGACACATCGGTACGTCTGTTCACTCCAGAGGCATAATGATGTGTTCTGGATTATTCAAATACATCTTATGACTAAGAACTAATGTACATTCTTGGTGTTGATAACTATTGTCTCTGACTTCATTTTGCGTACACGTTGCATCCTCCTCTGTAAATCATCCCAAATCTGTGGCTCCCTGAGAGATCCCCTCCACTTCCACTCTGCATTACAGCCTCAAGGACTTTGTTTTCATAAGAGCACACCCTGCAAATAGCTAAGTGGCTCCTGTAGACTGTTTATAGAGTATTTGAAAACTTTTCATGTAAGTTTCCTCTGAGATTTGGGTGTGTTTTGTTTATTTTTACTGTCACATATTATTCCTCTTTCCAAATGCCCAAAGGGATTAAATTCTCTCTTAAAACAAACCAGTAGAACTAGAACTACTCATCACCACTTTAATCTTTGGACTTAATGCACTCTTGTGTTTATGTTATTAATATCTATCACACATTTGCACTGACACTGAATTCATTTTCTACTCACAGTGACAACTTTTCAAGTAGGAGTGGCACATTTTCACATTCGGAGGAGAGACAGGAGGCAGCCTTAGCAAAGCAGAGGATGGCCACGGTGTAAACCTCCAGCAAGGGCAGTGGATCTTCATCCGTTTTCCAACGACTGGCATGTTCCACCAAGACCTTAGAAAAGAAAACAAAGACTCCAGTTAAAATAGGACACTGAATGACAACTTACAAGTGTTACATTTTAGCTTCTGTGCACAAATAGTCAAAAAGTTGTGCGGAATATTATGTTTTAGGCTTCTCGACTTTAAAGATTTTCTGCTTTTCTACATTTTTATGTCAATCTGAAACTCTCGGGGTGATGGATATAATAACCACAGTATCAATTTTTAACTTCCTGCTTTTGTGACTCCTCTTCACTGAAAGACTATCTAATAAAGATGAAAAAGCCAGAGAAATGTGGCTTTACTGGTAAAGAAATATGTTGGGAACCCAGTAAGAACGTTGAGACAAAATTTGCTCATTCCTCTTTACGGGAACCGCTTTCAATGATGTAAAACTTGCTGCTATCAGTGTAAATTAAGCTACAGATTTCTGATTATCGCTTACATTTAAGAGACAGCTACCTTTAATAAGCCAAAAAGCCATGCCATCAGGACAATCAATATTAAATGTTATGTTTAATACCATGACATACTTATTACACATTTAAGTTAAGGAGTAGTATCCTAAGCCATTAAAAATAATCTAGTGTGTGCAAAAAAAAAGTATTTTTTTAATTCTTTTTTATACAACTCAGCAAATCTAAAACCTAAATTTAATCCATAAAACTTTATTTCTTTAACACACTGCTCGCATAAAAACGCTTATCATGCTCAGTGAGTGTATTATCCCTGCAGCTACACGCTTTTAAATACATTCCTGCCCCGACTAAAAGTGCATTCAGTCCCAGACTCTCCCTTTTTTTCCCTCTCACATAACTTTTAAGTTGAATGAATTCTTCAGAGCCGGTTAGAGATGCACTGGGTCAAATTTAAAATCTCACACCAATTTGGTGCCATGAAAATAATCTACGTTGTGTCGCAGGAAAATGGAGAAATCGCATAATGTGCATCTATGTGGTCATGGCTAATTAATGAGACGGATACTGGAGTCGGTGACCACTAGAACACTTTCTCCTTCAAATCACTGCTCAGCCAGCTGCAGGCTAATCGGTTGCTTTTACAATGACATCAGTTGAACATCTCGTGCTGGCATAGATAAAAGCGTTGTAATAAACATATGCGCTGATGTGGTTAGCTGGATTAATTAGTGCAAAAGGCCCGGGCTAGCACACTGGGGGAAAAATCACTGCCCTTTCCGTACAAAAAAAAAAAAAAAACAGCTTCACAAAAAGTAACCTAAATACACACCAAGCTAAAATCCCCACAAGCACGGGTGCAGTCTTGCAGCGCTTACACTGTGTTTTTTTAATTACCTTTAACAAGTATAAATAGCGGTGCACATGAATGCAACCGCTCAGGAAAATCTCGCTAACACAGCTATCCGTTTTTGCACAGCATGACCACTGCACAGACAGGGGGACCCTGCATACCAGCTAGCAACATTCATTTGCTATTAGCTATCTGGCCTGGAAAATACGTGTAATTAATGCAGCGCGGGCACGCGATGGCGTGGCTTCTCGCCGCGTGGATGGTCAGACTTTGCAAATAAGTGCATGCCGCATACGAACATCACTGGTAAACCTGGGGGAAAACACTGAGGAGGTTTTTTCCCCATCTTGAAATGCCAGGGAGCTAGCTAGGCTGCTAACCCCTTAGCTACATTGTTATAGCAAACGTAGACGCGCATCCTCGGCCAGGAAACCAGAGGGGCTGCAGGCAGCCCGGGATGAGCAGCAGGATAACGAGCTAACCTGGCAAAACTCCTGGCAGAAATGCAAGGAGGCTTCCAACGGGGGCTGAGAACTTTCTTTCAAAGCTGTGGTCAACGCTTGGAACCGCTCTCTGAGCTCCTCGATAGCTTTCCGTGTATCATATTCCTTCTCTGTCTCCCCCTCCGCCATCTTCACAACAATCACGACCGCGTACGCACAGATGTTACGCTGACAGACTTGCACACGCACGCGCACGCAGGGGGAGGGGAGCGTGTACTGTTATAAGCTCAACATAACCCCGATGTCAACAAAGCATCCACAACCTTACGCATAAAATCACACTGTGCACACGAGCTGTGGGTCACATATATGCTGACGCGGTAACCTCAGAGTGATTGATGTGGGTTACCATCAACACTGCATAGTAGGGTACAAGACATAAAAAGATACCGCAGGCAGGCTGTGACATCGAGGCGTGAACCAGCCATCTCCTAAAATAACACAAATCTGTGTGCAAAATGATTTTAGTCTACTCCCAGTGTCCCCACGCAAACCTTATGTATCTTCCAGGTATGAATCCTGAGAATGTGCCCCTGGGTCTGCTGCAGAAAAAGGCCTGATTCAGTGTCATGCTCAGAGTCACTCCAGCAGGCCAGATGTTAGAGGTAAATCAGATTAATACTCGAGGTACATCTGTGCAGCCCGAGGGAAAAAAGGATACCAGGGTATATTTCATAAATCTACAATTCATGTTACACCAAATGAGCATTTGAATTCAAATTGAACTCTTCTACCTGCACCCGTGCTCAGAGCAGCACATCAGAATAAACCTTTCTAAGATTAACGAACAGACTCGGTGCTCTAGTTTGTTACCTGGACCAGCAGGAAACATGTTACTCAGTGGTTATCAAGCTGGAGCCAGTTCAGCCAACTAGGAGAGCAAGATGAAGAGAAGCTAAAGTGGATGCGTATGTTTTTTTCTTTTATAATAAATAAAGAAGAAAGAGATTTCTGATGCTACTGAGCAGATGATACACACCTTTATCTCTGGGAAATTCAGCATGAATTCTTTTTTTATTGGTGAAAAGGTGTTGGGTGTGGGATGAGGGGCTTTGAATGAGGGGCAAGCCAGAAAAGAAAAATACAAAAACCACTGATGTAACTGTAACATGTTAACCTAAGCAAAGAATGAAGTGTTTTCATTATGTTTGTGTTTTATCATAATGCCATAAAACATTTGAAAAAATATATCAGATAGGTTGATATGTTAGAAAACCCTTCACATTAAAGGTTTTTCATTTCTCTCAACAAACGTTAAAGATGAAGTTACGGTACATCACCACCCATCCTAATAGCTCTCTTTAAATGAACGTTTAGTATTAAAAATGACATCTTTATTAGGTGTCTGAGCTCATCCAAGTGTCATCAAACTGAAGTGGTTAAATCATCACTCTAATGACTTCTATCTTTCCTACGCTGACTTAAAATTCAGCTATATTTCTATAATTTATTTGCCATTAAAGCACATTTTGGCTGTTAGTTCCTGAAAATGTTCTATTCTGTCGCCTTACTGACATTAGAGTGTCTCAGCCAGAAAGTCAGTTCTCACTTTTTAGTGAGGTGCAGTTTGTGTAAGAATGCACCTTTCTCCAAAGAAACACTCATGAAAACCTCCTTGTAACAAATCATTCTGCATGGATTTAAAAATAAGACTCATTCCTTAATCCAAGCTCTTGTTGCACATTTTAATCGTTTTTCAAATCCACAATTTTTCAAATACAAATAAGGCAAAAAAAAAAAAAAAAGTAGGTTAAAGAAACATCACAGCCACAGAATTACTGTGAAATATATTCTGGAAACACAAACACATGCATTTTAAAACAGAGTAAAGCGTGTGTGTATTAAAAGAAACACAACATGTTTGCCAAGCCGAAGGATGCAGAGTGGTCCCCAGTCCCCATCTGTCATATCTTATGAAAGTAACAGGTGCTGCAATGGCAGTCTGTGTGGTTTCTCACCGAAATGCCAGCTATCAGGATCTGCAAAAGGAACAGATGATTAAGGAGGGGGGAAAAGGGTGAACATTAACACAAAAATGGCATAACACTAAACCGTTCTGTCATGGTATTTTGCTCTATAGTCTGTAGTAGTGTTTTAAACTGAAATAAAAACCATATAAGAAGCTTATGTGCATTTTTTCCAATAATAATAATAATAATAATAACCCTTTAAAAGTTATATAAGATCCCCTAAAATAAAAAGAAATGAATAACACAATCATTCATCACTCAGAAAAAGTGCTTACATGTAATACACATCCTAACTATTCGATAGCATCCAACTCCAAGATTTGTTTTGCTAAAATCTTACTGACACCAACATAAATTAGCTAAAAAGTCACAAATTCATAGAAAAGTTAAATAGCTGCCTGACATTGTCATGTGTTTGTGCCTCTACCTCGTGGCTGTGCCTTGCGACGCAGCACGTCGCCTCTGAGGTGATGTTTTTTGGGATATTCATTGTCTTCATGGCTCTGAGAGGTGTCGGGTACGCTCTGGAGAAGCAGCAGCCCATGCACTGGTAAACCGGACGTTCCCTTGAGAAAAGATTGTTCTTTCTCAACGTGCATTCTTCACAGCCCACTAGAGAGGGTGGTTTAGAAAAGGGAACCATTGCTAAAAAAAACCCAAACTGCACAGTTTGCAATATTGTGCCAGCATTTGAACACTGAGATTAAAAACACAATCTCTGTGATAAGAAATTTAGAACAGAACATTGTGACTTTCATAAGACTCAGATCATTTACATTTAATTTCAAATCCAATTATAAAACACTGGATGAACTTAAAATAGTATTTACATCATAAACAATTCTTACTGTTTGATAAGTCAATGTTGGGATAGGAATCAGCTATGTAAAGAAGAAAAGACAGCAGCAGAAGGGACAGTCCAGGGGACTTCAGTGAGCCCATGGCGGTTGTAGCAATTATCTAAAAATATAGAAACAAATACAGAGAAAGTGGTAAATGCAAATAAAGAACTATAAAGTTAAAGCATAAGTATAGAGACAGAGTATTACCATGTTGAGAGAAAGTGTCCCCTTCACTGTGCCTCTGTACAGAACTTACTTGCAGTGAGAACTTCTAGTCTAATCCATCCCATTATATAGCCCACACATTTTCCTAGCAATTTCCTGGATTAAGTGAAGCTTACCAACCTTATCAATGATCTCTGTGACCCAGTGGAAACTCAAAACATACTTCATTATCATCCCTCCATTCTGACGACGGTGGTTACATTTAATCCCCGGATTTTTGTTACTAGGTAACTGAGGGGTGAGCAAAAAGGGGGAAATTAATTAGAGATTTATCTTAGGCATTTCGGTTTAGTGGACAAAGGTCATTTTTAAGGCTAATGTGCATAAAACTGTTTTCGTGACTTTTTAGAATTCTGAGGTGCGTAAAAAGGGCCGATGCTGAAATACACAATTTGTTAAAGTGATGTCATCAAACTAAATGTTGCTGCCTTTTCTTAACCGCTCTCGGTTCCACGGGGACTAACACGAATAGATGCAAACGTCTAAGAACAGCAGCTGAGAACAACAAAAGACCTGCTCCGGTGGTCTCTGATTTAACTTTCTTTGAGTCACGATTTTGCAAAATCTCCAGTGTTAAATTAACACTAGAGAGTGTCTATATGGGTCCACAACTCTGAGTGTTAAATACAACACTGTTGAGTGTTAAATTAACACTTTTGACAGTGTTATATGTTTAAAAGTAACCTAGTCAGTTTTGAAGATTAACAAAGACTAACACTGAGCAGTGCTGATTTTCTAACACTGGAAAATAACTCAAAATGTTAGAAATATTCCAGTGTTAGAAAATCAGCACTGCTCAGTGTTAGCCATGCATTTTGCATCAAGTGCTCTCATTATGGGTACTTGTTTACTGCCAGAGTTTAAAGTCATTTGACTCACTAAATGTAACTCCAAAATACTAAGTCAAAAATGGTTGCACAAACAGTCATCACTAAGACCCGCGTCAGATGTTATCAGTCCATACAGTGGGTGTTATTAGCAGAAATCAGTCCTATTTTATGCCATTAATTTAATACTTTGGCACTAGTTAGAACTTATTCCATCTCTTCAAGTATGATCTCACATGAAAAATTCATACTGGATTCTGTATTACTGACAAGAAAGCATCTGGTTAGCTTATAACATTACATCAATACTGTATATACCTTTTTTTAGAGCATATATAGAGCTGTTAAAAACTCGTTGTCCCCTCACACTCACAAGATCATCAAAGAAATGTTGACATTAGACAAAGACCATTCATTTACCCTAATACACGATATTATGTTTTAAAGACTGCATTTTGTATTTAGGTTATCTTTGACTAATATTCAGATTTGTAAAAATGTATCCGATGTTCAGAAACATGTAAGCGTGAGAAATATACAAAGAAAAAAAAGAAAGCAGGAAATACTTTTTTCACAGCACTTTGACTCATTTTAACACTGTGGCTTTCTATAAAAACTGAGATGTAAGATGTGAAATAGTTCAGTCGAGCATTTTTGTCTTCCTCTTTTCACCTTATGCTGTGTTAAACTAACTCCAATACATCTTATTTCACGGGCAGACATCAATTTTCATGTACATTTTCAGCACTTCTAAAAATAATGCATGTCTTCCTCTGTAAAACTCACTCACTTCCTATTGTGAACTTTTAAACAGGCATTACAGAAATAAACCTAAAAAGATTTCATCTGTTTCTCAGTAGAGAAACATTTTTTAAAAAAAAGAAAGGATTAGAATTAATTTAGATAAAAGAAGCTAATAATTAATGAGCTGGTGTTTGATGGTTGTTAGGGGGGATCCATGTCTCCACCTCTAACATCTAAAATGTCAAGGATGAATATGAATGTATTTTGGATTTTGCTTGTGTGTTTACATAAGAACCCATCCCTCGTGTCCTTGGTTGTGCTGGTGATAAATCCTTGGCTTAAGTGTAGAAGACAAGATGTTCAGTGGCCCGAAATGTTAAGAGATTATTTTTTTTGCCATATGCCAGATCAGTCGTTGTAGCATGAAATGTAACTGCGTTATAAATCTAACATTCATAATAAAGTAATTATGCTAAAAAGTATTTGACTGTATGCTGTTGCTTTGCATAGCTGGAAGGCAAATCCAATTTCAATCAAATCAAAATATAATGGCCACATTAGCGCTGCTATCTGAGAAGGCCTTTCATTGAAACTGTTAATTTTAACCATAAAAAAAAGAATAATACTACATCTCTTTGACTGCTTTTATTCATTTATTTATTTATTTTTTACCCTTTCATGCTTTTTTCTGGGTTACTTACGTAACACCATATTTGGCTATTTGCAGCAGTGTCTAAAATAACTGCTTCAAATCATCACTGATGAGTGAGTTCGTGTAATGAAGCCGAGCTGAATAAGTATGTCAAAGGAAGTGGAGATGTTATGAGATGTTTACAGTAACTGACAGTTCAGAGGAGGGGTGCTGCATATAAAAGGGATTTAACTGAAAGTTCACTGAAAACAACAGTCAGTGATAGAAACACTCATCTTTCTCACTAATCTGTTTCACAGTCTTCTGCTTTTTATACTCAAGTATTATGTTACATTTCTGCAGATTCACTTGAAAGCCTCAAACTACTACCTTGTCCACAATCATCTCATTCCACTGTCAAAATGAGGACAAGGATCAAAAGTTGTAGTATACATAGTTACGTGCCATGAGAATACTCTTTAGTTGGTTAGATGTTGATGATGTAGAAGAAGCGGCTTTTCTCAACCATTGAAATAACTGTCATCATCACTTGTGTTTTTCAGGACATATGGTCTTTCAGGACTTTGTTGTTGTGAAACTGGCCAGTGCATTTCTTCTATGTAAATCATTTTTTTTCTTCTTTTTTTTTTAAATCTCACATGTAAGCTATAAAGTACAAATTCAACACTTTGAATAAACTACAGTTATTATGTCTGCTTTGTTTGTCATGAAATAATAGGGGAATCGATTTGCCTATGAAACAACTTGTCAGTTAATTTAAAAAAAATTGAAGAAGATGGATAAAAATGGCTGCCATTTCTATATATTTAAAGCTAAATTTAACAAACAAAAACCCCTTGTTCAGAAGTCTGCTATAACATTGTTGTTTGATTTAAAATCTGCTGTGGTAGTGAAGAGAGGCAAAAGAACAACTGTTGATAAGGATGTAGAAGAGATACGATGTATTCTTAGTTACCAAGGTAACTGCAATATTTAGTGATAACAAATTTCTATTAAATCTTGAACAAACCAAGCAGACTGGAAAATGTGTTGTATAACATGAAGTAAAGCTGATTGGACACAGTGGTCGTAGCACAATCTTACATTTTCAATTCATTGGGTTAAGACCATTTACATCATTTAGCTTTTTCGAACGGGGATATTGACATCCTGGAAAAGATTACTCTGATTAGAATTTAAATGCTTTGTAACAGGATAGAAGTGATCACTCAAATCAAGTTTGGAATCATTTCTAGGGAACCTTTCCACTGTGGGGACAAGTGGATACAAACCATTACAGCAAAAATGTCCACCACAGCATAACAGAGCCACTAGATCCACTCAATAGTTCAAGTTTTTCCTTTATTTTATATATGAGAACATAAAAATGAGCTCCAGCATGCAAGAAATATCAGATCAAATATTATTTCTCATTCCTCGGACTCCAGAATCAACTTTCTGGGATTTCCTTACCTGGATGATTGAGCATCCATCAATAGCATCTAACACAGAAATGTGTTTCTGATCCCCTGTGAGTGAGAATGATGGGGGGCCAAAAAATTACATTCCTCTTTCTGTGTGCTGTTAATTGATGTTCGTAGGGGACTTTCAGTTACACTTTTAGGTACAAAGATCCCTTTTGATGCTACTGTGCATCTACTCACGTCAGTCGGTTAGGGATGTGTTAGAACAGGAGATTCACAAAACTGCAAGGAACAGAAATTTTGCTGAGTTCCTCAGAAGGGAGATTAAAAGAGACACATGGCAGCATGAGAAATATCCCTAGTGCCTGTGTCTATTTGAATATGCCTGAGCATGTGTATTACTAAAAAAATATTAACAAATATAAACCTTATCACTACATCAATTACATATTAATTACTAGTGATCAGAGTGCTTGGAGTCATTAAGATATTTATCTTTATAGAGAAATGTTATGTTGCTGTTATAGTTCGGCCTGTGGATCTGTGACCTATTCTGGTTGTACTCCACCTTTAAACTTTTGTCATAGGCAATAGTCTCCAGTTCTCCCATGACTGGTTTTGGGGTGGATGTTACAGCTGGCTTTAGACAGCTACACATTTTTTAATGCCAAAAATAAAAAAAATTTATAGCTCAAGGAGAAATTCAAGAGAAAAAGTTTTGTTTGTCTGACTTATTGATGAGCTCTTTGTGTGTGTAGCTCTTGAAACAACAGTTTTTGAATTATGCTTTAAACTACATTTGTGACCTGTTTTGGGCATTAGTAGTGAGCTTTTTACTATTCCAAAAATTCAAAGTGGACATAAACCTAACCTGTTGACTTCTCTGGGGTACATCGATTGCAGTATGCGAAATAAAAACTGCGCATATTGCAAAAATGCTAAGGTAGCCTATCTATAGGTTTTTAGGACTGTATCCCCTCTCTCGCCCCTGCGGGCGGTCTGTATCCTTCAACCTCGGGTCCTACCGGAGGCCTGGGAGCTTGAGGGTCTTGCGCAGTATCTTTGCCGTTCCTGAGACTGCGCTTTTCTGAACAGAGATGTGCTTAGTAATTATCGGCGGTATGTTTTTTTGCGTGTCTTGCTTTGTCTTAATTGCCTAACTGTGTCTGATTCCCTGAGGTGTTTCCCCAAGGTGTACTGAACAGATAGTCCAAGACTTTGTTATATTATCCGTGTAAGTTCTCATGGATTTTGAGTTCTGCGCTTTTTTCCAATGTGGACTTTGCCTTGACTTACAACCTAATAAACACATTTTTGGGCTTAATTTCTGTATTTGGGTCCTTCACCTCACAACCCATGACAGAAAATGCTTTTTTTTTTGTGCAGCCACAAACTTTTATTTCTTCAACCTTGAAGTGTTCCAGCCTCATAAACGCTCTGTGCGTCAGAAGTTAATTACTTAAGTTATATTAAAGCTCAACACTGAAGCCTTTCGGATCATAATGGTAAATTATGTGTTAGCAGAATCCTAAATTTATAAGTAAAACAGTGCCGAACTTGATTTTTCTGCAACACCAATGCACGCAAGAGTAGTGCTTTATTAGTAAAGGCTTTAGTACGAGTTTATATAGGCTATCAACTTTGATCTGTGACTTTTCCTCTTTTTACATATGTCGTTTGTCACTTTTATGCGCATTACTGCTCAGTAAATATTACGATGCAACTTTGCATGGATAAAGAAGAGTGCAGCCTCATAACTCACAGTTTTGTTTTGTTTTTTTGCAACATATAGTCATATTGTTTCGGTATATATACGTTGGATCTCAACTAGCCTACACAGTCTCTTTATTGTGTTTACGAAATGGGCAAGTGCTATATCTACGAGAAGACTGACACAGTGTGGTGAAAAGTGGGACATACTTACCAGATTTCACCGTCATTTTACACTCATTATTAATGCTATTATCACTGGGTTGACAGTACATTATTAGTTAAGTAGTCTAAAAACAACACATATGTTTAATTTGTGTAATTCCTTGTTTCGTGATTTACTTTCGTGTTTAAATTTGATGTCTGTTTGTGCCACCCTTTTGTTTTTTTGTTCACTTGCACCATCAATAAACGATTCCGACGCGGTGAAACGACTGCTCTTTTGGAGTTATGACGGATGCTGCAGATGACCTGCTGCTCTACTGTAAAATGCATACAAGGCAAGCCCGTGCAGGGATGTCCAAGAAACCCCATCGACGAGACAAAACTCGAGGCGTGAACGTGGCAGCCATTTTACATCATCAAGAGTGAATGACTGAAGCCGGACCAGTGCCGGGAGTTTTACACTTTTCTCTCTTTTTCAGTATCACATTTATCTTCCTAAATAATCAGCACCATACACGTTGGTGTGCCAGCGGCAGGTAGGGCGAATGCTTGTAATTGATAACGTTATTGTTGCTTAATTGAGTGCTAAAAAAGTGTGAATCGTGCGGTGCTGTTTCAAACAATGTGGAAACTGGTGGTGGTTGGGAACGAGTTCTCCAGACCGGCTTTTTGAAAATGGACTCTTCCTATGTGGCGGCACGTTGACAGACCACGCATTTAGCAGGCTAATCCTCTAGCTTCCAAGGCCACGTTGGATCTAATTGTATTTAAAAAGCTATGCTTTGTCAATTGGCTAAGTCCTCATCGACAAATGACGTTGTAACAATGGCCTCACTGAAATTCCGTTCGAATTAGCATGCTAGCATAGGCTAACCCATTTTGACAGATCACGAAAATGACATGCTCATTGTCATTGTATGCTAACAGCACTTAGCTGGCAAAGGCCGGTTATATTGGTAAGAAGTGGCGATCATCCCTTAGTACTTTACTAACACATGTGTGTATTGCATACTTAAAGAATAACTATAGCTGTGTTCATAGTAAATGCACACAAGCGCCTCATGTTATTGTCCCGATTAATGCCCCTAGCTTGATTGCTGAAACATTAGCCATGCAAACTAGCCCGCTCGCTAGTTAGCTTCAACGTGTGCGAGTCGGTCCCTCCCCGCTAAACCTAACCCAAACCTAACATTATGGTAGAAGTTTGAGGGGAGACTGCGGGGGTAATTCATTTCCATAAAACCGATAACGTGAATAGGTTAAAAATTTAAGATCTATTTGTAAATGGGTTTCACTCGTGCATTTGGCGTAGTAGAAAGGTTTTTGCCACGGAGAAAGCACGTGCCTACCGATACGAGATTGATTAGCAGTCAGTATAGCACATCGACTGGACAATACGAGCTTCTGTTAATGTTAGGCCAAAACATAAGATTGCCGTCCACGTTTTCGCTGAGTCTGCCGTTGCCGGATAGACATTGTGACCAGTGAGCAGGTAGATTGCTGCTGTTAGTACCCCAAAATCTATCCACACAAAGGAATGAGAGGCAGTGTTTGGGTTGGTCATTAACACGATTATTAGAGTGTTTGTGTTCAGTGTAACAATAGTTGAAGGTATAAACAAAATGCTAAAGTATGCATAGTTGTTCATTGGTCAGTCACCGGAAACCGGGGTTCACTCTCTCTGATGGAACACGTGTATCAGCTATCTGTCCTGTGCTGAAGTCAGTAGTGACAAGGTAAGCTAACATGTAATTTAGAGACCGTAGCAGGCAGGAGAAGACTGAGATTCGGGCGTTAGCGCGTAAACTTGGCTCCGTTTGCTCAACTTTTTTTTTTTTTAGCTCAGAACAAACCAGAATGAAAATACTGCCACATGGCCACGAACCTCGTAGTTAAACCTTTTCCCCCTTCTTTTTTTTATTATACATATGTAATATGCAGCTGAGGTGAATTCTTTGGTGAAGTCTTTGGTATGTGCTTGTCCTGAACCCAATGTATTGCACACAGTGTCACACTGCCTATATCAGGCTTTTGAGCTTCTAGTTCAAGCTGAGTGCTAAGTCAAGATAGTGAAAAGTCTCCAGACTGGGAAGGAGCACATGACCATGATAATCGGTTCGGCACATGTCAGCATCTCCTTTGTTAAAATTGGATTTTATTAGTATGAAAGTTGCACTCCAGCAAACATTACAATTGGTGAAGTGATTTTTCCCCCAAATGATTTTCCTGACAAGTCTGAGACTTCACACTCTTTTGAGCACATCACAATTGTTGCCCTTGACCCAGGATTAATTTGGCTCATTGCATTTACACAGATTTCTGGAGACATGGCCACAGAACATATTAATGGAAATGGTCCAGAAGAACCAATGGACACCTCTGCAGTTACCCATTCTGAGCACTTCCAGACTTTATTAGAAGCTGGTTTACCACAGAAAGTTGCTGAAAAACTAGATGAAATTTACCTAGCAGGTAAGGCACCATGAATACTCTTGCATATTCAGTATGCAAATTTTTATGTTTAGCAATTTCTTGCATGTATTGTCATTTTATCACATTTTTGAATGGGGGAATTGGGATCCCGAAGCAACTTTTTGTGGTTTCCTACCAAAATGGGTACTGCAGTGCTACAGAATTTTAAATTACACATTACCAGAGTGTGTAAATGATTGCAGCATTTGCATTCCCAACATGGTTGCATGATCACTGGTGTCAGGGCGAATGAATTCTCTCCCTCTCTCTCTCTGGGAGTCTTTTGATGAGCCTATTCAGTATTGCTATTAATTTCTGTGAGGTTTCTCTGCATCCCATAAAATTATAGCAGAGCAGTGACTAAATGGGACACTAGCTACAGCTTAAATAACTGTTGATTTTTAGTAGAAGATCAAATGGGGATGAACTGTAATGACAAATTTTGGGGGGGGGGTCATTTTAGGACTTGTTTGGTTGGCCACATCTAGAAAAAGTACTGGTCTGGCCTTTTCAGCCAGATGGAACTGAGGCAGAAACAATGGCAGCAGCTGTCTGGTATATGGCTGCCTGGGACAGGTGACGGCCTCTCCATAAAGGAGAATGTAGACTGGCTCATTAGAAACTCCCAGCCACAGTATAGAGGGGCATGAGCATATCGAGTTGCACTGTCACATCTGTTGTGATTAGTTCTGCAAAAATTTGCTGGTTGAGGAGTAAAGTACAGCCCGACTACTGAATACGGCTCTATTAGATTATGCTCGTCCCACTCCTCACTCCTAATTGTACAAGTCATTATTCATTCATTATATTGGTTTCACAAAATAATCCCCGTTTAAATACTTCATTTAGGTCCTTGCACTTTTGTCAATTATCATTTTTGTAATTTTTTTCCCCCCTTATTAGTAGCTCACTATTTGTGTGTGTGTGTGTGTGTGTGTGTGTCGTTCAACCTGCAGGTTTGGTGTCACACAGTGATTTAGATGATCGAGCGATTGAGGCTCTGAAAGAATTCAACGAGGAAGGTGCTCTCCAAGTCCTTTTGCAATTCAAGGACAGCGACCTCTCACATGTTCAGGTATGCATGCGGTGCTGCTGCTGGTGCTATTTACATAATTTTGAATACCTCAATGCAAAGCCACAATCAGAGTGCTAGTGTAATGAAATAACAGTATTATGTTGAAATGTGCAACTACACTATAGGTCTTAATTGTCATTAAGCTTCCTGTTCCTTCTGCCTGCTCATATATATTGAAGGGTAAATTTCATATATTAATATTTGACAGTGAAATTGATAATTTTTTTAGTTACTGTTTGATCCCATTTAAATTGTTTGTCTTTCAGAACAAAAGTGCCTTTCTTTGTGGCGTGATGAAGACGTACAGACAGAGAGAGAAACAAGGGACCAAAGTGTCAGACACCAACAAAGGACCAGATGAAGCCAAAATCAAAGTGAGAACTGATGGTTCATTTAAAAATCACTCTAAAACTGATTTCATGCTTCGTTCAACACTATTGAATAATGAATGTTTTTTGGGCCCAAAAAATGCAATAATTCTGTCTCTGCTCCACCTCTTTTTCTTTTTTCCCTTATTTTTTTTTAATTGTTAGGCTTTGCTGGAGAGGACTGGCTACACACTTGATGTGACAACAGGACAGAGGAAGTACGGTGGTCCCCCACCAGAGTCTGCCCATTCAGGGGCACAACCCACCATTGGTACAGAGGTATGAAACAATCACTTATCCCTTTATTTAGCCATTTAATATGCTGCACCTTTATATATTAGTGTGTTCTGAGATTAATTGTATGAGGTGCAGTAATTTATTTTATGGTGTCCAAATGATGAAACTATTCACTGCTGTAGTAACTTTGGTTACACTGATAGTTTACCGCTAAGACCTGACTGGATACCATTTACCACAATGTTAGTACCCTTTGTACCACGCATCTTAAATGAGTACTTTGATCTCACGCGCTACACCTCCTTTTCCTGTCAACCTGGCAGATTTTTGTAGGAAAAATCCCCAGAGATCTTTTTGAGGATGAACTGGTTCCACTGTTTGAGAAAGCTGGGCCCATATGGGACTTGCGCCTGATGATGGATCCCCTAAGTGGCCTGAACAGAGGCTATGCCTTTGTCACTTTCTGCACTAAAGAAGCTGCACAGCAGGCTGTCAAATTGGTAGGTCTACTGTAATACTCTAATTATGACCAGAAAATGAGTTATTCTATGGCTTTGTTTTAACAAAGGGGACTTTTCAAATGAAGAATAAAGGAATATATTTATGCAGCATGCATGTGCCTCATGTTTGTCAATGGCGAATAATTATCTTAAAGCATCACCACCAGTTGCAATAAGCTCTCCTAACTAGACTTGACTGTCTCCTTTTATTTATATATTTTTTCCTCTTATACTCCTGCGTCTTTTTGCAGTGCAACAACAATGAAATTCGACCAGGAAAACACATTGGAGTGTGCATCTCTGTGGCCAATAATAGACTGTTTGTTGGCTCCATCCCCAAGAGTAAAACGAAAGAGCAGATTGTTGAAGAATTTGCGAAAGTAACAGGTGAGTCAAACTGTTTTTTAACCTTTCCCATCCATTAACCATCTTGGAATGGGTTTCGCTTTGCTTGTATATTTGATTGGATACACCTTGCACATTTGCAGGTGTAGCTTGTCCAGTAGGTATTTTTAAAACTTTTTTTTGGTCCAAATGATGATCTTATGACTGTACTTGAGTGATTCACATTACTCTGATGGTTTACTGCTAAGATCTGACTGGACACAAACTGCAGAAAACGACGTTTTTCAAATTTTATTTCTCTAATTTTGATCATTTCATGTTTTGAATCAAGCATTTATGGCTTTAGGTTTATGCTTTCCATAGAACATTTGACTTAACTGCTTCTTTGTCTACACTTCTCTCTCCTGTTTCTTCTCTCTACAGAGGGTCTAAATGATGTCATATTGTACCACCAGCCAGATGACAAGAAAAAGAATCGAGGTTTTTGCTTCCTTGAGTATGAAGATCACAAGACGGCAGCTCAGGCCCGGCGCCGACTAATGAGTGGCAAGGTCAAAGTTTGGGGAAATTTGGTCACAGTGGAGTGGGCTGATCCCATTGAGGACCCAGACCCAGAGGTCATGGCCAAGGTAAGGCACAGGACGAAAAGTCCTCAGCAATGTAACCTTGAGTGTATTTGCACGCACAACCTCTTTCGACTTGTGCATTTGTTTGGATTTGCACTGCATTTCTGCATGCGGAATAAACAAAACATGCTTCTCTACCCAGGTCAAGGTGCTGTTTGTGAGAAACTTGGCGAGCACTGTTACAGAGGAGATACTTGAAAAGACCTTTAGCCAACACGGCAAGCTGGAGCGAGTGAAGAAGTTGAAAGACTACGCCTTCATACACTTTGAGGAACGAGAAAGTGCTGTGAAGGTATGAGGGGAAACTGTCTCAGAATCAGACTGTTTGTACTTAACCCGTTGGGATTTTTGTGTATAAATGATATTTCACTATTGTCTCGATTTCACGTCATAGGCTTTGACTGATCTTAATGGCAAAGACCTCGAAGGAGAGCACATTGAAATTGTCTTTGCCAAGCCACCTGACCAGAAGAGGAAAGAGCGTAAAGCCCAGAGACAAGCCGCTAAAACACAAATGTAAGCAAGAACTTTGTAATTGCAACTAGGTTTGTGTTGTGTGTAATTAATCCAACAACCTTTTTAGCCAAAACTGTCAAATTTAAAGTTATGTTATATGGCATGATGGCTTCCTGATGAGAACTCTGTATCCCCTCTCAGGTATGATGATTACTATTATTACGGTCCCCCCCACATGCCACCACCAACAAGAGGCAGAGGACGAGGCGGTAGAGGAGGTTATTCTTATCCGCCTGATTATTATGGATATGAAGACTATTACGATTACTATGGATATAATTACCACAACTACCGGGGCGGCTACGATGACCCGTACTATGGCTATGAGGACTTCCAAGCATCTGGGAGAGGAAGAGGAGCAAGAGGAGTCCGTGGTGGTGCCAATCAGACCAGGGGCCGTGGTGCTATCACCCCAAGGGGTCGAGTGGGCTTCTCTCAACGAGGAGGCCTTGGAACAATCAGAGGTTAATGACTTTTTCCTGTGTGACCACCCACCCCACCTCCACATTTTTACTTTGTGCTTTTTATTTTCAAATGTAAAAATACATTTAAGCTCGGTTTGCTGTAAGCAAGTATTCTGACATTGGGTCAGAAATTAAAGCACAAAGTTAAGAGCAGTGGCGTGAATGAAACGACTGATGGATAGAAAATGAAAGCAGCTATAGTTGTGAAAAGTTAAGGGCGATTATCTTCAAATGAACTTGGCCATATTCTAAGGCTCCAGTTTTCTGGTGGGATCTTTGAGTCAGCTTGTTTGCCAGCAGAGAGGGTCATTCATAGCATTTTTAAGGCCAGCTGATGCCCACATAAGTGGCAAGACCACTGGTGTGAATGTCGGATGTCTGCTCTAATTGTCTGATTTATGGCAAATGTGTGCAACATTGGTTTCCTGTGCTAATTTCATCTTTCTTTCTTATTGGTCCAGCAGGGAAACGGGGCCGAGGGCGGTCCTGACCTGTCACAGTGGATACTGACTTGATATGTGGGGTTACACCGTAAGCTGCAATGGATGTCGAAACAACAAGCATGAGAAAAAGGTCCAATGATATTCCAGCCTTACAGAAGAAGCATCTCCCCTCCTCTATATTTTAACTCACTTTAGCCCTTTTCAGACATGGGTTAATGCATAACTATAATCTCTTTAGTAGTGTCATTCTGCCAATCAGACATGGGTCACTTTTACATTAATATTCATCATGGCATCATTCAGATATGCCTACGATAATGCATGCAAAAGAATTGTTACTTTATGGCAACAAATTCTGTCAGCATCAACTCAAAATGTAACCACGTTTTTGAACGCTTGCGCTCTCTGCGCTGTTAAGGTTTTCCATGCAGAGTAGGAGATGCATCTCTTATGGATCGTGAAGAAATGTCTTAATATTTGGAAACCAAACAGAGATAAGAGGGCATAGGGCAAGTTTTGCTCTTGAACACTTTCTTTTGTGAGCCGAGCAGTTTAGAGCAGGGGTGCCCAATCCCGGTCCTCGAGAGCTACCGTCCTGCAGCTTTTAGATGCATCCTTGTTCCCACACACCCGAATCAAATGAATGGCTTGTTATCAGGACTTTGCCAAACACGATGGCGTGCTGAAGAGGTAATCAAACCATTTGATTCAGCTGTGTTGGAGTAGGGATGCATCTAAAAGCTGCAGGATAGTAGCTCTCGAGGACTGGGATTGGGCAGCCCTGGTTTAGAGCGTCAACATGAACTGTCTATCTTGGGTGTGCCCATCCGTTAATGTTACTGTGTACAGTTCAACCTTATGCTGTGTTTAAAGACGTGTTACTAGGTCCAACCTAGTAAGCTTACCAATGCAACTTTCATGGAAAAGTGACCTGGGTGCTCATGCAAATGAAGCCACCATGTTCAGATTATTGGAGAGTAGTGCATGTCTGAAAAGGGCTCATTTTTTGTTTTTGTTTTGAAGCTGCCACCTTATAAAATGACTGGAGGAGTCTGAATACTTGCCACAGCCTCTTTGCTGAGTCCCTGTTCCTAGACGGGGACCTATGAATTGCCCTTACAATCTACCCCTTCCCTGTCCCTGAACATGCCATTTTAATTATTTTTTTTTTTTAATTAATGACGAAATTGCACTTTTTAAGTTCTTAGGTTTGAAGTGGCTCAAAGGAGCTTGATGCTATTGTATATTTTTGTGCTAATCGGAATTTTTATTGTCGGAATATCCATGTTAATCTTAATTGTTTGATCTGGATGTTTGAAAGAGAACATTTGCAGGGTTTTAGGGTGTACCCACCTGGCATGGATAAGTCAGGCATTCCAGGAAAGTGGTTCTTTTCAGAACTTGTCTTTAAAGGGTTGGTTGACTACCTCAGTACAGAGGACTAAACTACCCGGCCTGTACTGTAAATAGGGAAACTATATCGATGAAAGCAGGGCTTGTTTTCATACAAAATATGCACAAGAGCTGCAGCGCAAAAACGATGTACTTAATGTAATATAGTCATTTTAGCTGCAGCTCTGCAGACTGCAAACAGTCACACCGGGCATGCAAAACAATCTCATATGATGAGTCTGAACAAGCCCTGCTTTTATCTTATTTTGAACTGAATTAGCTGCCTTGCTTATTCAGAGTATGTAGTTACTGGTTGTATAGTTTTTCGGAAAATGTTACTTTTGTAAAGGCTTCAAGATCACGGGCATCCAACTGCCTTTGATTAAAAAAACAATAAAAAAAAAACAAACAAAAATAAAGCCCTGCAGTGTCCCTTTTGTGCCACTGTATTCTTCCAGTGGGTTTGTTTTTATATCAATACAACACATTTTCAGACAGCATCGGAATAATGTAAGAGCCTAATCCAATCCTTCCTCTTATAAGATCGTGTTAATCTCGAATGATCCCTCCCCAGTACAGCAACTATGTAGAAGATCTCTGGAGTTAATCTTATTGGATGACTGACTTGCCATATTGCCCAGCCAGTGAGCATGTGTGCCTAACATTAGCTGCTATGATTTGGTGAGGGATCATGGTCTCACAGTGGTAGAAGGGATACTGCAGTGAACGATTTCTACTTCCAGGTATAGCATAAAGGAAACTGCTCTTCAATCCCAGTTTTCTATACAGTTAACTCCCTCAGTAAAATCATAACAACCACCTTTTGAGAAAAAAAAATGTTAGCAGTTTTAAACTATTGTTGGTGGCCAACAACGTTTTTTGCATTCCTGCAAATAAATTGTTTTATACTGTAAAATGGAGGTGAGTGTAACTTATTTTTGTAATAAAGTTTTTGATTTTTATCTGTGTCTTACTCTTTTGATTAAAACAAAAGCCTTCATGAGGTGCAAGGACTTTATTAACTGGAGGCAGTCGATGATTTTGGTATTTTAAATTTCATGTAAAAAGATTTGCATTAAAGTTTCATGTTAAAATGCAAGATTTCGAATAAATATTTTCCTAAACGGGTTGACGAGCGCAGTGGGGGTGTGTAATAGACAAGATCTAATATGCTGCAGTTTATGTATCTTTTTTCATCTTTATATATGTATGTTTTGTGTGTATAATAGTGTATATGATTTATAAGGCTTATATTATTAGATTCATATGACAGGCATACATGCACAGTATTGGTGCCTTTGAATAAATTAAACAGTATTTATTGCATTGAGTCATCAAATGTAACAATACTGCGTTAGTATAGTTACTATTACAGTAATCTACAGCCTGATGTTAAAAGCTCTAAGCGCCTTTGTGTCAGTTAACTGAAAGTAGGTCATCGCGAGTGATGGAGCTACTGTAGGAGGGCTATTTGCCGGTTAACCCAATTTAAGTCCACGTTAAAAAACGCAATTTTCCCATCTTTCCTTGTGCAGTTTCTTCGATCAAAGTACGTCTGTAAGCTGTTTACCACACACACAAATCAATGGTGCTTTGCTTCGAGTCCGTTAAATGTGACAATAATATAAATAATGGCCGCTCCAGTGAGCACTACTCCGCTCCGGGACTCGTCTCCTTGATCCGGGCACCTTGGCGTGGGTTTCATTTCAAGGGGAATATGTGGCGGACACGTCCGTTACCTCAGAGCTAAACTACAGGAGCCAGTAGCAGCTACTGCTGCTGGGAGCGCAGCGGAGGTGACATCACACGTCTCCAGCGCTGACAACCGAGGCACCAACCACCGCCGCTGCTGCTGCTCCTCAATGGACAGCTATGCCCGTGACAGGACCGCGGCCATTAACCAAAACGGCAACCTATCAGAGTTTTAGGACGGTCCACGCACGAATGATGCTGTGTAACTGCCACTAATCCTGCTGTGGCTCACAGCTGTGCGCGGCTCTGCGCTCATCCTGCACACAGGCAACCTGCTTATGTATTTATTTTGTTTTTGCAAATTCATTATGGTGTCGCGCCTGAACTACAGTGAAAAATGGCCCATATCGTCCGCCGTACACTTACAGTAAGTGCTTGAGTCGATATGTTAAAATCAGTGCAACCTGATACGTATGTTAAGCGGAATAGATAGATTTAAATAAAATAAAATACTGTGACTTTGAGTAAGGAGCTCTTGCTTCCTGCTACACGCCCTTATTTATTTGTAGCCTGCAGCCACTTCGTAATGCGACCTTTATTTATTTACAGTAATATGCAGTAGGCTGGATGTTGACAGACAAAGATGGGATGCATCCGGGCTTATCTGCAGAAATTAAGACGCAGGGTAAAGGTGGACCGGCTCAGGGAGCTTGGTCGACAATATCCAGTGTTCTGCTTCCTTCTGCTGGTCCTGCTTCTCTCCACTGTGCTTTTGAACAGGTAACTAGTTCACTCTACATAGGCAAACCTGCAGCCCACTCAATTTCACTTCATAGCTTACCATGTTTTTATTCATTTATACCTCACACTTCCTTTTTACTACAGATATATTCACATTATAATGGTGTTTTGGTCGTTCCTGGCTGGAGTCGTCACTTTCTACTGCTCCCTGGGGCCTGAGTCTCTGCTGCCTAACATCTTAGTCTCCATTAAACCAAGAATCAAGGTCTGTTAGAATTTAACTGAACAAATTAGGAGGATACAGCCTCCACACTCTGAGTGCCGCAACTGATAGAAATATATGTAATGTCTATCACTTGTTGGAAGCATGCCATTGCTTACTTATACATTGATGATGATGAATAAAAAGGCACAAAAGCAGCAGCAGTTCATAATCTTTGCTGTTGACTTTATCTTGTAGTCATACCAGCAGGAGCTGTTTCCGCTGGGCCACAGCTGTGCTGTTTGTGGAAAAATCAAGTGCAAAAGGCACAGGTGAGTGACGTGGTTATGCTGTTGTGCAACGGTCGTAGACTGGACAGAAGCTGACTTGTGTTTTATTGAAACCTTATAACTATTTCAGCAGCAGTTATATATTTAGCATAATAAATGCTTAATGCATGATGTTGTTTACAGATTATCTGTGACCAAGTCCATATCACTGTGTTACTACGTATGATATACATATATATATATATAACCTCATTACTGGGTTGACAACAATAAGTTACCTACTTATTAGGTCATGGGAGATTTAGCAATGCCATCTAGTGGCCAGACTGGATTCTTCTGTCTTCCTCTGCTGATGATACTGAATTTTTTCTATTTCATTCCTTTTTAAAAAAAAATTTCGTTCATATTTATAGACCGACTCTGTTACTGGAAAACTATCAGCCATGGCTTGACCTGAAAATTCCTTCTAAAGTGGATGCCTCACTCTCAGAGGTAATAGACATATTCGTTAAACACGTCATTATTCTTAAATAAACATTAAATTAATCGATCAAATTATGGCACAATAAAATCTATTGTTTTTATTTTAGATTCTAGAGCTTGTTCTGGAAAATTTTGTATATCCTTGGTATAGGTAAGAGTTTCTTGTATCCTTCCTTCGAGGTTCAAACTGTGTTGTGTCCTGTGAAGTGAGGGGACAGATTTCTTTTTCCTTTCAGAGACATCACAGACGACGAGGCGTTTGTTGACGAGCTGAGAGTGACCTTGCGTTTCTTTGCAGCCGTGCTGGTTCGTCGGACTCAGAAGGTGAAACTTAGACTCTATAAAGACAAAAAACTTTTTAAACTGGTCTTCATCATTTTTAAATAAACTTGTCTCTCTCTCTTAGGTGGATGTGGCATCTCTCATCACAAAAAAGCTCCTTAAAGTTTCCATGAAGCACATTGAGATTATTAGCAAAGCAAGGCAGAAGGGTATGGCAGATATAATCACACAGAGCAGTTTGTTTTTTATTTCTTTTATCATAAAAAATGTTTTTTTGGTTTCTTTTCAGTAAAAAACATAGAGTATCTTCAACAAGCTGCCCTGGAGGAATATGGTCCTGATCTCCACGTGGCTCTTCGCAGTCGCAGAGATGAACTTCTCTACCTCAGGAAGCTGACTGAGATACTGTTCCCTTACATCCTGCCACCCAAGGCCACAGACTGCAGGTAACTGACTGCTCTGGAAGTAAAGCCCATGCACTGCAACCATAAATTTACCCAATGAAGTCACA